TGTTACTTGGACCTGGCTCCAGTCGCTGAAAGCCCATTAATAATTGAGCAGCTTCAGCTGTGCTCCTGAAGCACATCTTTTGGTATAGTTTTCTCCCAAGGGAATTCAGATTGTGCACGCTGAGGCAAGCTGCTGTGCCGTCATTGGGGATGATTTACCAAAAAAAAAGCACAGTTCTCATCTGCCCTAAACCAGCTAAGCACACACACACACACACACACACACACACACACACGCAGATGCAGCAAAGTCCTGCCCAGAAACCTCTCTGCTGGTGATCGCTGGAAGCTGGGAAGGTATCTCGGAGAGGGCTCCTGGAGCTGCCTTTGCCCTATGCCTTATGGGCTTCCCTGCACATCTCCGCCGTGACGCTGGACTAGCAGGATCTTTGATCTGAACCAAAGGTCTGCTGTTTTCGAAAACACCACAGTCATGGTTCCCATGCGCTATCTGTTGGTGGCCACCTTTTCTCCACATGTAATGGCTAAATGTGTCAACCCAGCTGTGCCAAAGCTGAGTGGGCCATAGTGAGGCTTCATTAATCTTGGTGAAGCACTTTGAACAGTGTGGCAGCAGGTAAGCACAAAGTCCTGCTGCTCACATCCCTAGCTTGTTCCTGGTAACAGTGCCCAGGACTGAGAAACCAGTGGTGCGCCCACAGGTGAAAGTGCATGGCGGAGGCAGGCAACACTGTGCCATTTCAGCCAAAATCATCAAAGCTGCACGCTGACCTCACGGTTGGAGTCTCCAGCCGTCAGTGAGGGACCACCTCTGGCGCACGCATCACATCGTATGCCGTCCGTCACTTATGACATCACAGAAGCCACGCAGGTTTTCATACCCCTAGGGCGCTGCTCCGGGGCAGTGCCACGAGCTGCAGCCGCGGTGGTGACCCCTCGGGTACCTCCCACTGGGTGCGTGTCAGGGCGCTGCATGGGACCATGAGGAAGGCAGGTCACGATGGCACCTGCTTTTACACTTCATCTCAGAGAAGGCTTTCTGGCTGCCCAGGAGAGTCTGTGGTGGCTTTGAGCTCTCAGCTTGTAGCTCTTGAGATTTATTTCTATTAAGCCAGTCTCTCTCATGAACACAGTTGTTGGCTTGCGAAGCAGGAGTAGGGCTCCTTGTCCTCGAAGTTCTTGAAGCTGTTTGTTGAGGTCGCCTTCCCATTTCCACCTTGCTGCTGTGGGTGTACCACAAGGGCTGCGCACGGCCTTAGCAGCCCTCTGGGGACCCTGGACCACCTCAGCCCGTGGTGCCAGCGATGATACAGGATCTCTTGCCATGGCAGTGCCCAGCGGGCTGGGAGAAGTGGGTCTGGAGAGAGCACTGGGCCTCACCTCTCTTTTCAGAACAGCAGAAAGATTGGTCAATCTGTTAGTGTGAATTACGTGACCCTGGATGGGTATCGCCGGGGGCCACAGCTCTGTGTTTGCCCCCGGTTCAGTGGCAAGCAAGTAGCAGCGGTGCAAATGTCCAGCCTTCTTCAGCTCATCTTCAGGCCTGCCAGGTACCCACCTGGGGAAGACCCTGAACTCAGAGGCGATCCCTGAGCTAACTCTTCATACGTGCCCATCCCTCCTTGGCAGTCTGCCTAGCCAGAGCCGGCCTGCTGGGGAAGGGACAACAAGGTAAGCTTGGCCACTGAGGACCTGCCCCATTCACTTGCTAGGCAGACAAATAGTCAAAAGCCCCGGGGCAGGCACCCAGCGGTGCCCCTGTGAGCTGGGCGCTGCACGGACGGCGAGCAAAAGGGCTGCTCGTGCCCCCCAGGGCCAAGGAGGGGAGATGATATACCAAGCATAGCACTATATATACGTACACCAGCAAGGCTGGAGGGCATGAGGGAACCTCGCTGTTATTTAAAGTTCTACAAGAAACAGCAACAAAAATACACCAGCTCAAGAGGTTAAATATCGAAATAGGTCTGGAGGAAAACGCTCGCAAATGCAAGCTACGGTATCTCACGTGATAACGTTTAATGGTCCTAATTTACACGCTGACAACTTTGCCATTTCTAAACAATGTTATCATTCATCTTTCTGATGGTTAATCAGCACACGCTTCAAACACTGTTTATCACACTTTGATGCAGCAATCAAACGAGAAAGGCACGGTGTTACAGGGTTTTTTTCAAAAATCTCACAGTATTTACAGAAAGATGCATATTTTGTAGAACAGCATTCTTAGAATTATTCACTCATTCACAATCAGTCATTGTACAAAAGCATCATTCAGAACTAGCTTTTAAAATGCACCCACCTCAGTTGCATAGTACACAGAAAAAGTACGCTAGCGTCAAGACATTGATTTTTGAATAAGAATGTGAACTGATTTAGAGGTAAAAAAATTCCGAGGAAGAAAGATGCACTGCTACAATAACATCAGCTGCCGTTCTCCTGAAGCTAATGAGCTCCTGGTAGATCTACCGTCAAATTTCCCTTTTACAGATCAGGTATATTTTGAGGTGTGTTCCCATACAGAGCGTGGTTGCACTTTGGTCCAATGATTCCCAATACAATTAGAAAATTTACTTTGCAATATTTCCACAAAGGACATTTTTATAAAAATTAGTTATTCAGAAGTACTCACAGAGCCAGGGATCAATACTGATTTTGTGTGCCACGGCCTGTACCTGGAACAGCTCAACAGGCCTGCTTTGTTATTTCTGATTTATACCAGTGTAACTGAGACTCAGAATAGAGCCTTGGACTTGTAGGATTTTTTTTTGCTCAGTAAGAGGATACTGGATTCTTTTTACTGTAAGAGTTAAAACTGCAGGCTGTAGAGGGATTAGCGTGCCTTGTATACAGCCTGTTGATTTTCAAACAAAACTTTGTAATTTAGTCATTTGGTTATCTTTTATACTGATAATTTTCTCACTTTAAAAATGCGCTCCAGTGATTTCATTGAGCCTCGTCTATTAGAGAGCAACAGGGAACTTTGAACAATAGATGCTTGTTTTACAGCTACTGCAAATGCTTAGAAAGCACTAAATTGCCTTTTATACTCAACAGTCTAATAACAAAGACTGATTTTCTTCCTCTTTTTTCCAATCGATTTGATGGTTCACTTGAGCTTTAAAAACACATTACATAAATCTTTGCAGCTATTACAGAAGTCTTTTGTCAAGTTTAATTTGGTTTTTTTTCATGGTGTAATCATTCACCCTTAAACTCACTGTACCAAACATGCCCGAATCGTGCTTGACTTTGGAGCTGTATGAATAATAAGCCTCGGAGGTTTATTTTTGCATGGGGAGGGACCTAAATCCTTCCAAAGGCAGTTTACACGGAAAGCTCGAGGTGCAGAGGTATATCAGATAAAGCTGAGCACCTCCTGGAGGCGCTGCTGAATGCCACAGCCTCCAGCGGTCTCCCGGGGAGGAAAGGCCACTTTGCAGGCTCAGACCTTTACGGCTCTCTTCTAGGTAAGCCTATTGCACAGCAGAAACTAGATGAAGCAAGAAGATCCCCTCTCTAATGACCCACTGCTGCATACAGACTCCCCCTCCCCGCCCCGTGTTTAACACTGAGCACTGTGACAACTACAGGATTTAACAATTAAATGAAATTAATCTTCTGAATTAGCAGACCGTAGCGCTGGCTCTGCAGCCAGCCCCTACCACCCTGAGCCGGACGGTGCCCCGGGGTAGAGCCATGGCTGCACTGCAATGAACGAGCAGGGACATAACCAGGTTTTTTTCAGGGGAGTTGCTCTCTCTGTCTTCCTGATTTTTTTCGGGATTACTTCATCCATTTGACTTAACCTCCAGGTGCATCGCCTCTGAGAACAGCTCCATCTTCTCCTGCTGTTTAACTTGGCCGTTACAACTTTGGGCTGGATGTCGCATGGTGGAAATATTTAGCTAGGATTAACTGGGGGTGGGGGTGGTGAACGACCCATCAGTACAAACCTCTTTCACTCTTGCAAATACAGCTGCTAAAGAAAAACCGCAGGGGGAC